GAGCGCGTACGCTCTCTAAAGGAGGTTTCCCCGGGATGCAAAGGCTCACAGAAGCCTCTGTCGCTCATACAGTAACACTGCTGCACACACACACACACACACATACACACACACACACAGCAGCAGTCAGAAGTGGAGGATTCGATGACACCAAAGACCACAATGAAACAAAGGCACAAATGACACCCTCCTGTGACAATCCCAATTGTAGCTCTTTCCCTTTGTCTGATAATATATCAAATGCATTGAAAAAGAGCTCTTACTTAATTGAACAACCTCGCCCCGATTTGTTTGTGTTAAAGGAGAGTAAAAAAGACGCGAGGCAACAATTTGTGTGTGTGTGTTTTCCCTTTGTGGGTGCGCGAGTCTGTGTTTAAACCCCTGCCAAGCAGATATGCATTATTTAAGATGCTGTTGTGATACTTGTGCCTGCTTAAAGGTCTCAGCTTCCTTTTAACGCCATGCCGCATGATCAGTCCACCTCTGCCCCCACCACACACTTGTGCAAGGGGGGGAGGAGGGGGTGGGGGGTGGGGGGGACCAGAGTGGGACCTGCTGGCACTGGTCCACACATCACCTGGGAAAAAAAAATCACAGCAGGGGGAGGAAAGCAAGTGATATCGATAACCTTTAAGTCTAGCACACAAAGACATTTTGTCATGTCATTACTGAACTGACTTTTTTTATATGTATTTTTTGCTTTCTAATTTTTCAAGGATGTTAAACTCTGGAAGAAAAGTTTTACTGTGCGCCCACATAAACTTCTATTTTAATGGCGGTTTTTAATAAGTTCCCACTTTAAAGAGCGGCTCTGACAGTAAAGAAAATGGACAGTTAAATGCCAGTGTCAGACTAACACATGGAGCTGGACTTAAACGTTATTACTTCTGAATTTGGAAATGCCCTGCCGCTCTCCCAGTGGTGAAGAAGCCCGTAATGGAACATAGTACTGTAAATTGAATATGGTTAATTACTCTTCATGCTATGCCACTGGCCATGTGTGTAAGGCGAAAAAAGAAGAAGAAAAAAAAAAAAACGAGAAAGTGGAAGGAAAAAGCGTGTGCGGAGTAACTTCAGGGCCCCTCATTACACTCTGCCCCTGGGTATTTTTACGCCTTTTATTTCCCATCTAATGAACTGTTTACATTTTTGCCGCTTTCCAGGCGCCACAATCATTTGCGCTCGTCCTTGTATCGGTAGTCGCACAGTGGAGTAAAGCATGTAGGAGAGTTGGAGGGCATTCAAATGTGTTTATAAATCTCACTTTATTTGATTTTAATTATTGTGTTGTTTTTTTGAAGATAGGGAACTTTTCTTATTACTTTACAAAGACCGTTATTGCTGGCTGCCAGAAATCAGTGGAAGGGCGTTATTTCACAGTTAATAATGCATCTAAAGCTAACACATTTTTAAGACTAACCTTCTTCGTGTTGCACTGAGGAACTTAAAAAAAAACGGCGCTAATTTTGACAAGATATACTCATGCATGTCCACAAACTATAAAGAAACTGCACAGAGGAAAGATCCATAGATTTGCTATAATTAAATAAATATAATTTGCAGCTCAGAGGATTACGCAGAGCTGATTAGCATATCTGATATGAATTGTTATGCATGCATATGTAATTACAGTTTGATGGGCAAAGAAGAATGTTTTTTTTTTTTTTCCTCCCGTCTGCTTTCCATGTCAACAGAGGTAAAAACGTGTGTTTTTGACAGGACAGCAGCACCTCCATCGCTGCATTTGACGGCATGTGTGGAGTTTTTAAAGGCAGGCCACTTTGCATAAAGTTAAGATGTACCTTTGTACTTTTCCTTGTGTGCTTCCGGGAATAGAAGCAAATTCTCACCCAAGATTAAAAAAAAAAAAGTGACAAAAGACAGACCTTTCAAAAGGATTAAAAAAAGCATCCTTTTTTCTTTCCTGAGCAATAAGGTATCTTCTGAAAGCGCTCATTCTTTTTTAGATTACAAAGCCTGATTAGTTGGTTACGTCTAAGAGATACGGAGCTCAGTCTTTACATGCTGTAGGTAAAATCTGAGAGATTGAGTGCATTTTCTTTATAGAAAAGAGGGATTTAATATAGAAAAGATATCTGATATCTGTTTCCCTGACCTTAGCATTCATCTTCTTGTCATTCAGCAATTTTCTTTTCCAAAACACCTTAACTTATAATCACAATCTGCCACTGTATTAAGCAGTCAATATTGCACAGCTGTCTGTGTCTCACATCAAATGGAAAGACAGTAATCACTCAGGAATGTGTTGTTTTCCAGAGGGGGAATCCAAAAACTGGAGTGTATACTGTAGGTACACTTTCATTTCAATGACATTTTCCACTCTTTATAGTTTCTTTGTTATCTGCACTCTTCTCATTGCAGAAACGCTTCACACATTCATCTGTAACAGACAGATATTTAGAAGAGAGAAAAAAAAAAAGAAACCACCCCAAAAAACAAAACAAAAAAAAAAACCCTGCGCATGGTTTGAAGGCGACGTAAGCCTTAACATTCAAATCAATGCTTCTCCCAGGCTTCCTCGCCTCAATTACTGCTGAAGTCGTCTTTCCCCCCCTTAGTTGCACTGCAGCTCTTTAAGATGAAACTCTCACTTAAATGGAATATGTGGGTGTTTTCCTGGCAACAAATATGTTTGTGTGCGTGCGTGTGTCTGCGCCTTGTGTACAAGCTGTCTTCAGATTGATGCTTATTGTTTTTCTGCTTTGACTTCAATTTGATGTTTCTTTGGATGTGCTGACAGCGGGCCAGTGACCACTTATTTAACCCCTTAACCAAGATAGTGCTTATATGCATGCTCAAATCAGAATTTGAATAAATCTATCTGACGTAATCATCTGATGTGATATCATGATGTGTGCTGCTGCCCTCATGGCCAGGTCCCCCATGTGAAAGAGATCTTGATCTCAATGGGTTAATTTCCTGGTTAAATAAAGGTTAAATAAAAAAAAAAGAATACATACAAATTTAGTTTTATACAAAATGTGATCATTTAATAGATACATTTTTAGTACATGGACAAGGGGTACCAAATTTGTTAAATATGTATTTTTTATGCTCCCTATATTTTACATGGAAGAGAAAAAAAGAAGGGGAATAAAAATGATTTAAAGATTTAAAAAAATGCACTGCAACTGTTTGGCTTTAATTGTTGTTGTTTCCTGTTATACAATATAGTGCTCTTACAGTAATTATAAACTTAACCTGGTTACATTTGTAAGTCACAATGAAAAAAACCTGTTACAAAAACATCTTTAAGAGCACATTTTGACATCGTGCTTCAGTGTAATGTGTATGGGGGTGGGGGGGTTATTTGATTTGACTCTGCGCTGCCGATTTCCTCTTTTCCCCTCGGTGGGCGTTCTGTGGCTGGCTAAGGTCCCCGTGGTTCAGTATTGTTTGGGTGCACTCTTTATCTAATGGGTTTTTGTGGTCCAGGTCAATCAGGCCCTCGGTCTAGTCGGTAATTACTCCAGAGAACTGTGGCCCTCACCATCACGATAATAACAACCAAATCACATCAGCCTTGACTTTCCACTCACTGCTCCAGATTATCAGGAGAGACCAAAAAAAAAAAAAAAAAAGAATCAACTGGCCCTGTTGTGATTGGCTCCAAAGTTATTTCAATCAAGGAACTTGATATGATCACTCTTGAGGTTGGAATTGTTTTTTCAAGTTTGATTTGTGCTTTTCTTACAGAAGGTAGCATCAAAGTACAGTGTGCGGGAGCTTCTTCAAACTTTTTTTTTTTCCTGATAATAAAAAGATACAGGGGAAAGATACTGTATTTGAGAGAAGAAAAAAAAAATGTCCCCACTAGGTAATTGGTGTTCCTTCACTGATTCTCTGACTTTGTTTTGTTTATTTTGAGTGCACAACTAAGCAAATATAGAAAATAGAAAGAATTTCGAGTGGAGTAAAAGTGATATTTTCATTCCTCTGCTTGTGTTCCGTCTTTGATTTTTGCCCACCTCCTGCAGCCCACCTAGAAACCTTGTCAAGGCAGGGAGAGAACGCGAAGGAGGCTTAGTAAACACTTTCTGTGTCTGCTTGCTGGTGTGTATTTAGTTTAGAGGGCATGCCAAGAGGCTGTTTTTTTCCACGGGTCGGGCGTCTGTAAACAAGCGGTACAACGGCAGCCCACTCTTCGACAGTCGGAGGTGGCATGCTCTGAAGTGTGTATGAAATGTGTGTGTCTTTTTGTTTTTTTTGTCTCCTTTTTTTTTTTTTTTGGACATGGCATTCCCTCTTATTCCAGCCTATCTAGAGACAGAGAAAGAGAGAGAGAGAGTGAGAGTAAGGGTTTATATATATGTGTGTGTGTGTGTGTGTGTGTTTGAGGGAGAGAAAGGCAACCCCAAATCCGATGGGCCGCCAATGGGTGATGAATTATTCCCTGTCTGAGTCTCAGCATTGGTGTTATCACAGAGCCTGCCACAGCACTGAGATGACAGCAGTGACAGCCCCCAGAAAAGATTTAGCACTGACAAGTGATACTTCCTCATAATACATCTCCACGGCCCTCTCCCCTGTCCCCCTGTTCCACAGCCTCTCCATGCACACGAGATCAGGGTTTTCATCCCTCAACTTATATTTGTTTAAGTGGGCAAGCTTGTTGGGGGAGGGGGGGGGGGAGTCCTTTCTGCCACTGCTGTGGCACAAGTGCACTAGGTAGAGTAGATCACCTTGGATGGGGAGGCATGGGCACAAACCTAGACATGTTGTTTTCAGTTCATGTGTTGCAGAGGTACACTAACCCACACAGAGACACGCATTCAGACAACCTGCAAGTGTGTCACTTGTCACCGAGTTCCATTAGGGGGCTCTCGTGCTTAAGGAATGCCTGTTGTGTTTTTTTGCATCGCCGACCACACTAAGCCATATTTCCCCTCTTGTTTTTTTTTCTCTTTTTCTCCTCTCCTCTGTTTCCCCTCTCCCTCTTCTTCTTTTTGTCCTTCTTTCTCCTCCTCCTCCCCCTGCAGAAAAGGTCACGTATCGCCTACAGTGACGAAGTGCGCAACGAGCTCCTGGGGGATGACGCCAGCTCCTCAGAGAACCAGGTGAGGTGCTAATCAGGGGTCCAAACCCAACCACCAGTGTGGGTGGCTGACTGGCCCCTAGGGTGAGGAGAGGGGCCCCTTATAGGAGCCATCAAGAGCTGAGACCACAGTATTGTCACCAAGTCAAGCGGAAGGAACACTGTTTAATGCAAAGCTGGGCTGCTTGTGAGTGGGCTCAGGGCATGGGAGCAGTGTCTGGCCAAAGCCAGATTGTGGTCCACACACACACACACACACACACACACACACACACACACACACACACACACACACACACACACACACACACACACACACAGCTAAACATATACACACAGTCTAACACAAATTTCAATCCACTTTCCCACTGGCCTCCCCACTCCAACCGTCCCACAGCTGTTCTCCAGCCGGGTGTGGACTTAGGCCAATAAAAGACCCTCCATCAAGGTTCACACACACACACACACACACACACACACACACACACACACACAGCCCTACAAAGTCTTGTTCACTGCTCTTTCTTTAAACTCCAAGGGTGGCCAACTTTCACAACGAAGATGCTCAAAATTAATAATGCATCTTCTAATATTGTTGACAACTGATAAAAAAAAATACACACAATATTTTGATGCAGCACTTCCTTTAAATTAATCTTAAACTAGTACATATTCTAATTTCTATGAAATCAAAGCCTTTGATTAAAAAAAAAAAAATCTCACATTCTTTTTGATTTCTTTATTTTTGGATCTCTTCTCTATCAACAAAGGCCTGATTGGTTAATTGTGTACTAAAAGACAAAAGACTGACATTTTTGTTTGAGTATCAGTTCAGCCTGTTGAATTGGCGGGATATAAACAAGGGATAAAGAACACATTAGCAGTTTTCATTCATCGTCAGCAGTGGCTACAAAAGATTCATTCACAGCAGTTTTATGACGGCGGCAACGAAGACGGAACACAATTATCTCGCGTTGTGATCTTAATGGGCCAAAATATGCTGCATGTTATTTTAAACCTTAGTTGTTTTGAATCAATGTGGAGCCGCATCAAACCGGCGATACATCAACGGACTCAGAAAAACAGCGTTTTAACATTTAAGACGCACTTACCTATTTCTCACCTGCACAGCTGCCACTCAAACGCAGCCACTCTCAACTCTGACCAAACGTCTTTTGACTAATTATATATTGCCTTTAGAATCGGCTGTCAACTCGGAGGGGTTACAGTGTCTGAAGGCGACACACATACACAGACGCACACATGCAAATAAATACTTTGCATTTCCAAACGGGCACTCAGGGAAAAAAAGAAGAAAAAAGACAAAGATGAATGCTCAAATGCATATTTACACATTTAGTCCCACAGTGCTTTAAGTGAGTATATTTAGATGATTTGCAGCCAAGCCAAGCTAAATAAAGTTGTTTGTGTTTTTCTTTTTCTTTTTTTTTGAACATTTTCCTATTTCCATTTCAATGATGACCCATGAACTGCACATCTTAGAAACATATGTATCATGAGCCTCCATGTGTAATTGAAATGCATATTCCAGGCAAATTAGTGAGACACAAAAGTGACTCTGACATTTTCTGCACAAGTTGGAAGGAGAGTCGCTGTCAGAGATGTCACATTTGAGACACTGATGAGTTCAATCCAAACCCTGTCAAAGGGAAGCTGGAAAAACACACACATCCCATTGCCTTTCAAATCTGATTTCCTTTTCATTAAAAATGTAAACAAACATATTTAAAAGCGATATATATTATGTAGGATTGACACATCTCAAAGACAAATGTTTGAATATTACTTTTTTAAAGGCATTTGATCAACTCTGCATTACTGTTACAGATTTAAAATCACAATACTGTTTTAGTAATTATTTTATTTTATATATTATTTTAAATGTAGGTATTATTCATGACAATTATACAATATATTTATTAAATAATTACTCAATTATTTTGGTAATATTTATCATTTAAATATGATTTTGACTTTTTTAAATATTGGATCTACTAAATAAAAAAACAATGGGATGCCTCCTTAACAAATAAACTTACACACCATGTGTCATTTAACCTTTTTACAGCTCAATTCTTATTTGTCAGCTTACATAAAAATCCTAAATTAAATTCTGAAATTCAGTTGATCTTAATTAAATAAAAAAAAAGGAAAATATAAAGGTGTAATTTTTCGCTCATCTGTAGGCCAAACCTGATATCATTAAAACCATATAAACTAAGGAAAGTGACTTGATGATTTTTTATAAAAAATGTTTCTTAATTTATCTTTTTATACTCCTCATTATTCTTTTACAAAAAAAATATAAGAAGCGTGAAAATCTGAATTTTTAAACCATACGTTATAAATAGTTAAATTTGGGGAAAACAGTATTAATTAGCTTTAAATTAGTCTGATGTTAGAATAGAAAAGTTGTGATTAAAACAGTTTATCTGAAACACTAACAAAGCCTGAGAGAGAAAGAGAGAGAGTTCATACTGAGGCCAGAAGCAAGTAAATAGATGATAGATGTTTTTTTTTCTTCCCTTTTTCTCCAAGGTGCCGTGTTTACCTCATTTTCATTTAAAAAAAAAAAAAAGTTCCAGAGATAATACTTGTCTTGGTCGTGCTGTGAGTGGAGTGCTCGGAACTTCAGGCCTTTTTTTGTTATCTAACGAGACGGCGGCGATAGGAGAGGGGAAAAGATGGTGGGGGCTGGGGGCAAGTCGGTCAATTTAATTCCTGACGATCTGAAAGAGGTCAGGATCATTTCATATAGCCTGGCTGAGCAGATCATTACCAGTCACAAATCTGTTGGTTACATGGCAAGGATTTATAGCTAAGTAAATAGGGGACCGTCATAAGTTCTGAAAATGGCGTGTTGGCCCTGCGATAATGGCTAAAGGACGATTTAATAGAGTTCGGCATTTATTTGTTATCTGTATGCGGACAGAGACTGAATTGGCACTATCGCTCGTTTTTTTTAATAATGTGGTAGGCTACTATTGCACATTTTTTTTCTTTTCTGTTTCCTTCTGCATGCAGCACACGCACACAGACACCCCACACACATACTCTCAGACACCACACACAAAGCAGCACATACACACCAACACTACACGGAATAGTTTCGATTTCAGTCACAGCAGCAGACATACTCTCAGACACCACACACAAAGCAGCACATACACACCAACACTACACGGAATAGTTTCGATTTCAGTCACAGCAGAAGGCTTGGCCACAAGAGATTGTGCTGGTTTGAGCCGGCATGGACCAGATTTGACAGGCTACAAAGGAAGCAGATTACCACTTGTATCGAATTCCGTATTGGATAAAAAAAAATAAAAAAAAATCTTTTGTTTGAAAAAAAAAAAAAAAAATTGCTGATTATCATAACAGAAAAATTGCAGCAGTGCAATTTTGAATACTTTTTAAAGAAAAGGATGCCAAAAGAAAAAAAATAAAGCTCGACAGGAAGAAACGCAGCTCAACATGGCACCTCGTATAGTTTTAACAAATCCTTCACGAGGACTTGCAGTAAGTCAGGCGGCACAAATGAGCTCGAACAAGTTTTGTTTGGTACCCATTGACTGATGGGGGGGGGGTGGTGGTGAGGGATCGCAGGATCCGATGGGTTGTTTTTCAAGCCCCAAATAATCACATCCACAGTGTCGTTTTAAACTTTGGCCTCTTCAATAATGCATTCTTAGAGGGGAGTTGTTGCTTAAGTTAGAAGAAGACGGTTTCCATCCTTGAGTACGTCTCGTTCTAGACATTCTTAAGGAAGAGCTCTTTAGAAAAAAAAACCCATGCAATTATGCTTGTTTACCTCCCACGTTGCAGATATTAACAATATTTTTTTATAGTTGCAGTATTCCAGTGATCCTTCATCGTTAAATATATATATATGTTTTCCAATGGCAAAAAAAAAAAAAAAAAGTGCATGAACTATTTTGAGATGCCTCGAAAATTTCCGGGGTGTGTCGTGCTGTTTGGAATGCAGCGTTGTATTGTGGGAAGGACTGGAAATTTCTGTTTGTATTTTATATAGTAAACATTCCCCCTGCACTGACAATGTTTTCAGGTGATGTTAAATGAAGAGAGGTGAGATATGTTGGCAGTGCAGTTTCATAGAATAAGTATAAAAAGAACAGATGTTAAATGTAAGTTCTCTGATTTTATTTTGCTCTCGAGAGCAGGAAGAAGGAGCTGTTGCTTTAATTGCTCCACTTTGTAACTGTTTCTTAAATATGTACACACTTTGTGCCCCGTCTCCCAGCTGCTACGTTATCAAATCTTAAAAGTTTGCAATTAAGTTCATAATTCAAGATATAAAAACTCGCCTTTTCTTGCGCCTATTAACCAAAAAAAAACTGGAAGCAATAGTGGCTCTTAGCCTCCCTTTAGATCTGCTTCCCTCCAGTGTTGGCCAAGAAATGTGGATTTAAATAATGAAAAAGAAATCCACTGTTTTAACGCTTTCAAATTAAGAAATCTGTCCTCTCCCATTTTTCAGCCAAACGTGTTGCATTCCCACGAGAAGCTCCATCCTTCTTCTTCTTCTTCTTCTTCTTCTTCTCATACAGCCCTCACTTAAGAACAGGCCAGGGTAGCAACCTCTTAAATCGTGATTAGGCATAATTAATGGCAAATGGGATTGTTTCCCTCCCTCGAATGTCTGATTCATTATCAGGGATGTAAGGGGTTTCCAGGACAGGGAATAGAAATAGCATTTCTTATTTACTTCACTTTAAATTTGCCATTCCCTTTCATCAAAAATGTATAGCTGTGCTAAGATTCATTTTTCATGATCTGTGGCTGTCCCAATAAGAAGCCCTGCACTTGTATGTATGTATACATGGCTCACATGGTTTTCAACAGCATTCACCTTAAGTGAGGAGCGAGAGCTACATTAAAAAAAAAAAAAAAAAAGTGACAGGGTATCAGCATTGACAAACAGCGGTACAAATGGAATGGCTCAGCATTTCTCCACCTCGGGCTCCAAAGGGCACATTTCTTTCCTTTTCATCCATTTCCAGAGAATTCAGCAAAATGACAGATACAACACAATTTCCCCATTTAAACCTGTGACTGTGCAGACTCTCATGCACTTATTTTTCCCCCTTCCTCCCACTGTATCAGCTATTTTGACGTGACTTTTTTTTTTTTTGATAATGATAGCTGATATCACAAATGGAGCGATCCATTCCCTCGCTTTGTTTCATGTGACAGCGCCAGGACTTGATCTTTGTTTGTTCAAAAAAAGAAAAAAGAAAAGTCAGCCCGGGCTGCGCGTTAAGCTTCCGTTTAATGTGTTTGTCTTGTGATTCTCCAAATGCTAAACATGCAAACAGATAAATCGTCAGGGTTAATTCTGTACCCAGCCTCATGACTGCTCTTCCTCCTGCCATATTTCTACAGTTTTTTATCTCTCCCTCACTCTCTCCATCTTTTTTTTCCCCCCCTCTCTCTTCTCTTTCTGCCCTCGTGATGCAGCTGATAAAGTTGCGTGAAGAGGTAAGTGCTGCTCTGCTCTAACAATTTAAATTCTGCTTTCCCACTGAAATTTCAATTTGTCCTCTATCTGTCATGTAAGAATATTTGAATCAGTTTTTTCAGTTGTTGCATGTTTGATTGAACAGTCAGAGATAATGGATTCAATGAAGATTAGGGTTCCCTTCCTCACATGTCAGAAAGTGTAGAGAAGATAAAACCTCTGATACTCCTGTCTAAGAATAATATTGATGGATGAAGTAAGGCAGAGAGTAGCTTCATTGAGTTCAAAAGTTGATCAAGTTCTTACATTTAAGAGAGACTGTTGCTCTCCCTTACTGCCCTCAAATAAGGCTTCTTACGTGGTCACTGATACATTTTATTAATATTTGATATTTTTGTTTTACATGGTGTTTAAGACCTATCATTCATTGTTACATTGATGTCTCTGCCATTTCCAACAGTTACCGTATCAATTCATTACATCTTAATGTTTTTCATTTCTCATTATGAGTAACCTGCACGGCATGGAGTGATTGTAACTGTTTTTGTCCATTTAAATGTGTTTACTGATTCTCAAATGAAATCAAATAACACCAGACAGACAACAAATCCAAGAAACATGCTAATGTCGAAATGAAACTCTTGAAACTGACCGGTACTGGGCCTGCTTTTGGAATACTGGTAGGTTTCATTTATACACTTTCAACACCTTAAAAGTAACTGATCTTGGTTGAGCAGATATGGTTAAGCTACAATGTGCAACCAGCAGAAACATGAAGCTGATAAGTTTCCTAACCCAGAAATGCTTTTTATGAATTGATGAAAGTGTTTAGCCTAGTGGGGCCCCATGTACAGAGGCTACAGTCCTCCAAGCTGGTGGCCCGGGTTCGAATCCGACCTGTTGCTCCTTTCCTGCATGTCATTCCCCACACACTCTCTCTCTCTATGATTTCAGACTTTATCCACTGTCCTATCTCTCCAATAAAGTCCCCAAAACCCCCCCAAACAAACCTAATGAACTAGTTGATTTCTGATTGGGACATGCTGCGTTACTCTCTCCACTACTATACTATCCTATAATGAGGTGGTGAACAAAGACAATGATGATGATGCAGTGGAACTGTGGAACTGTATGTCAAGGTAGAATCAGTGCTCACTGTCGCTGTTTCAACTAACTTTGAGTTTGTCCATTCATAATCAATAACAAATGAGCTTTATTTTTAAGAAAGTTAAACTCGAGCATCATTCAGATAGATGATGTAACGAGCATAAATATCCAAATGATCAGTCTGACAAAGCCTGGAGAATGATTTCATGTTCAGACAAAGTATTTTGTAGTATTTAACTGATTTTATACTTTTTAACAGACCAGTAAGATTAGTCAAACAGTAAATGCTGATTTCCATTTACTTTAAGTGTGATGTCATCTTTTAATAACACTGTGTCCTTGGTTAGATCAGAAACTCACTTAGAAATCATGATGATAATGAAACTTACTTAGTAGATGTCACTTTGTATTCATCATTTTAAAAACAAATAATGAAGGCTGTGTTAAAAAAAAAAAAAAGAAGGTTTTGTTTCTGTAGGTCACATTGTTAAGCATTGTCATTTGAAGCATGTCTTCACTTGTTTCCCTACAGCATGTTACCTATGAGTGAGGCTATATTCAAGAGAGCTTCTACCACAGCAGAGTTCCTAACAAAGCATCAGCATTCACCAGAACTCAAAATTAAAAATCACCATCCTGGACCGGCTGTCATGTTATCGAACTATTTTCCTTTAGCTGCTCATTTGTTCATCTTCCCACCCTCTGGACCATATCCTCCTGACCTGAGGTTCACAAAACATCTTGAGTTACTTCACCTGTCAGTCCCTTTTGGAATGACCCAATCTGTACAATCAGGGTTTGATTCTGCACCCCCCCCAACCCCTCTCATCGCCATCGCACTTCTCCATTGCAGTCTGTTTCTTCTCTTCCTGCATTTGAATCAAAGGCTGGCACAGCTTATACACACTTAAGCCTTGCTTTAAAAAAAAAAAAAAAAACTATACTTTTTTTTTTTTTCTTCAGCTGAAAAACATGTTTAAATATTTAGCACCCATATTCACAGCTGTTTGACACTTGTAATTCCTCGTCTTACAAGTCCCAAACAAACGGCACAGAAGATCACACAGTCAGTCTGAATCACAGCTGTCATCATTATTCACTTTGACTCTCCCCCACCCTTATTGAAATAATAAGGAAATCATCTGAACTTTGGAAAATGGTGATAGTAACTGCCTGTGTTTGATATTGAAAAAAGGCAGGAGAGCGTTAAAAGAAGAGGGGAGAGAGATTTTTTTTCTTTTGAGCTACAGCTGCATTGTTCTGGGGCTCCCTGTTAATAACTTACAACTGAAGAGTGTTTCTTGACGCAAAAAGAAGCACAACAAAAAAACACAATTTTTTCGAGGTTCCTATGAAGATCTTTGTTCAAAATGTAGGTGTCAGATGAAAAGGCATACATGCATAGGCAGAAACGGTGGTGCTGATGGAGGGGGGGGGGCGGGTGCACTCAGATGCATAATATTTATCATATATTACTTTTAAATCCTTCGCTGGAAGCCACAAGACGATCAGAAATCATTTAGATTAGATCCTTTTAGTTAGTAAGTGTAGTAATGGCAGAGTATTTGAGCTTGACTCTGGTGTGAGGGAATGTGTGTGTTTGCCGTATTCTGACGGTTTCACATTGGTTTTTACCGCAGGGGTCAAGCCTTGATATGGGGGTGTGTAGCACAGTAGGAGCTGGCAGACACTTTGGATTCCCTTCAGTAAAATCGCTGACAAGGGTCTCTTCAGAATTTGCTTGCTAACCGGCACAGAACACCTGGATACATTCAGATGTTTTTGATTCCCTTGTACCATTCAGATATTAGAACAAAATCTATTTCCAAGCACAAGAGTCTTCTTATTTTAGACCGATTTTGTAGACATAACGTGTCAATCAAAGATGTGTAGGATGTTTAGTTTTAATTGTACATGTTCCTTTTCATTATTTTCCACTGTGTCATCCTGTGTCCGTGCCAGGATTGTTTCATTATTAGGGGCCATCACAGTGTGCCATTACTGGATTCTCTGTGGCTGAACTCTCACCCTTTCCTTCAGGTTCTGTCATCGTCAGACTCGGGGCGCATTATTCTAATGATCACACACACACACACACACACACACACACACACACACACACACACACACACACACACACACACATATATAAATATATATATATATATATATACTCCCTCACTGCCACCACTACCTTCCAGCTACCCCTCACGCCCCCCCTCCCTTCCCAACTCACACACCCAACAACCCACCTACCCACCCACCCACACTCACCCCTCCCCTCCCCTCCCCCTGGCCCTAAAAGAAGACAGAACGAGAGAGAGAGAGAGAAATTCAGGAGGAGAAAGCTTTTGAAGTGGCTTTCCATCGCAGTGAGTCTGCCGGCCGTCTCCCCGAGACGTGTCACCTTTGCCGAGAGGGAATAGGAAAATCACGTTTCGAATGGTAATGATAACATACTAATCACTTGAGCTCTTTGAAGAACCAGGGGAGTGCGCAATACTCTGTCAGTATCCCCAGCTGCCTCATGCTCCCAGGCACACACAGGCACTGCAGCCATGGTCTAGGTGTATTAGCTTAAGCATTGCATGTCAATACGTCCCCTCTGATCCATAGGGGCTCATTATAGCCCAAGCTTGGTGTCTGTTTTCCTCCCATGTGTAGTTGCCACGATCTCTCTTGGTGCTATCACCCATGTGTCCTCACCCCAAAACCTTTACCAATAAAAAAACCCCACCACACCTTGCATCCTGTCCTACTCACCGTTCACCATCCTAATCACTTTTCTTTCAGCAGCCCATTTTCACCATCCACCCACCAGTTCTTCCATCCCTCCGTCTTCCTCCCTCTGCCCTCCCTTTAACTATTCAAAAGTATCTCTGCAATTTTAAATGACATCTGTCAGCGGGCGCCGAGAAAAAGGAAGCAAGGGAAAGAAAAGAGTTCAGAGGGAGTTTTCTCCTCCCTGCTCTTTTTCCCCCATCCCTCTTATTGTCAAACTTTGAAAAGTGTGTCGTTGACTTTTTTTTCTCTCTCTCTCTCTCTCTCTCTCTCTCTCTCTCTCTCTCTCTCTCTCCACGTTTCTTTTCTCCATTTCCTCTGAGTGATTAGCTGTTACGCATTTTGACAGCCTTACCAAAACTCGAGATTTCACTCCCCCCCCCTGTCCCCTTCACTCATGTAATGGGGATAAACCCATGTCAGAGAGGCGGGTTGTCATTCGTTGGGTTGTTTTTTTGAGTGTCAGATATGTTACATCTGATCAGATTCTTAACAGAGCATATTAGAAAGACCATCAAAACCTTAAACCAACAACATTGGAGTAAACATTTTGGCCTTCCTTGTTTTTGATGTTTTATGATCCTCTTCTCTGAATGCAGTTTGAATTTAATGAGAGCCAGTTCGTAGTTTTGATTTACATATGGACGGTGTTGCTACAGTGGACAACATGGGGGTATATACACTGTTTGAAGCTTTATTTAGATTACACAGTGTCTTATTCAATATTTGCTTAACATTTTTCTGAAAAAGTAGTAGTTTTGTGAAATTGAAACCATGCTCCAAAAAGTTTGTTTAGCATTGAAAGTCTCACCAGGGAAACTGTGATGATGAAATGAACAAAGTCAAGGAATCATTTCAAACAGTCAAACAGATGCTTCCATGGTTAGCCTCTCTGTTAGCACATCTATTTCTTTTAATGAGACACTTATTTTATTAGATTTTAGGAATCCACGCAGTGAAAGGTCAGACACAAACCGAATCAGATTTAAAACGCAGATTTTTTTTGGGGGTGGATGAATGACAGTTACAGGACCTGGGAAATGATAATCTGAAATGACTGTCCAAAACATAGGCACGTTCTTTAAAGGTCAAGAGAAACTTCTGGGGAAGAAAAAAAAAAAAAAGCCATTGT